TTTCTACCCTCTTATCATAGGGTTGGCTCCTTCCGCAGCCGACTCTATCCTTAGAAGCTTTCCAAAAGTCGCCTCATTAACATAACAAAAGACACCTTTCTTCCTCCCATCACAGGAAATTCCAAGGGTTTTAGGAGGTCTCTGCAGGAACAGAGGAAGATCAAATATATTTCATATTATAATTACCATTACCATGAACAACATTGACTGTTTTTAAGTCTTCATGGTCAAGTTTTTAAAGCTCTTCTGAATTTCAGATCGTTTCTAAATGAATTTCGCCTAAATTAAGAGAGAGTTTATTGACATTTCCTGAGCACTCTGCAAATTCTAAAAATGTGTGCAGTCACCATGGTTTTTTACCTGACCATAATATGGCTTAATATTGTTTTGAAAAATTTATCCATATCTGCCCTAGTTGCATTCATTGTGCTAAGAGAAATACCCTGCATGAATTCTCTGTTACCCAAGTTAATTTGGCAAACATCTGTTACAAGAAAATGGTCCAGATGGTTTTTGACATGTAGTGATAATAAATAAGTGGTCCTTTTTACATATTGCATGGTGTTTGCTGTAGCTTTCTATTAAAGGGATGTGGTTTCTTAAAGGGGGGAAAAAATCCAGCTCATGGCCACCCAAGGCACATGGAAACACATGTGACCCATGTGTCTGAATGCCAGACCACTCTCTATAGATTCAAATCGGGTCACATTGCCAGGAATATCTCATATGTTGCTGACCCATGACTTCTTTCTGGTTTCATGACTCTTTATATCAGTATCGCTTACCCCGTGCTTTACTCATATTATCTTAATCTTGTCAACAATCCTGTGGTCAGTATTATCCTATTTCTAAATGAATAGTCCAAAGTTATGAGTAAGTGGTCGAGCATCTGACACCAAGCCCGTGTTCCTAACAGCCACACGCTCTACACACGGGCGGTTTCTGGGCATCGCCTACCAAGCTGCATCCCAGGGGACACACTCCTGGGTGATGTTTATTGTCCAGACCTTCTTCACCTTCAGAGTAGCACAAGGGCACCTTGCCTCCCCTCTGATGCCCAGTGGCAGTCCCCTCCCGTCAGGCGGAGTGGCGCATTTACACCCGCTTGCCAAGCTCTCTGGCCCAGGACAGCTGTACCCGAGTGCTGAGAATGCATCTCTCACCCAGGCCAATGGCCCTCTTTCCCATCCAGATGGCAGCTTACCCCAATATCTCCCAGAGCATCTTCGGAAACCCCATCTCTGCCTAAGATCCCTCTCTCTCAGCACTGGACCGGAGGACTAAGTGTAAGACAGAGAGTCTGCATTCCCCTCCCCAGGGAGGTTTTCATCCTCCTTTTGCCAGAACCCACTAATAACCTGATTACTGCACACCAAGCTGGGGTAAGAGGCAGATAGGCACCAGGATATCACCAGAAATGTAACCAGATAGAGAATTCTGTATTTACCGAAACTCCTGTGAAGCACGGTGTGTGGATGGAGGAAATACGGTATTATGTAACTTAGAGACAGTGAGATCCCACAGGGGTGTGTGAAACTGGTCGCTAAGCTGCCTGTTAGGGAGACGAATCTAGTTAGCCTCTGAGGGTGACCTGTGGAAGGTGACCAAGTTTCGGGCCAGCGTGGAAGTGCTCTTGATACCAGTGAAGAGGCTGAGGGGGCTGTCTCCGTCCCACAGAGTGTCTAACCATTTCCCAAACGAAGAGATCTTGAACAAATACTTAAAGAACACAAGTTTGAAAAGGCACCAACTTGAGAGCCTGGGAATACCATGCAAGCCTGCCCTATAGTTTCCAGCAGTAGGTATGGCCTGGGCTGTGGCCCTAATTCCTACCTTCCATAGAACTCTTTCTAGAAATTGACTCAGCAAGGAGTCTTCTTCTCCCTCTCCCTCTGCCCCTGCCCCCTGCTCATGCCCTCTCTCTCTCAAATAAATAAAATCTTTAAAAAAAAAAAAGGTGATGGAGGGCCAGGAGGGCAAGGCATGCCGCAGAAACAGCTTGCATAAAGGTGTTGCATAAATGGAGATGTCAGGCTAAAGCCCCAGAGGCCAGCTTTGGCCGGCGGGACAATCTAGCCTACCGGCCTGTTTTAGTACAGCTTAGTTTTGCAAACTAAGAATGGCCTTTGCCTTTTTTAACGGTTGAGGTGGAGGGAGAAGATCACAAGAATCCTGTTTTGTGTCCAAGAAGTCTTACGAAATTCGAATTTTAGTGTCCAAAACTCGCAGTGTCCAAAAGCTTTCTGGCACACAGACACACCCATTCATTTCCACATCGTCCGAGGTACAATGGCAGGGTGGAGTGCAGGCAAGAGAGCGTGGCCCCCAAAACCTAAGATATTTATTATCTCATCCTTTATGGAAAAAATTGGTGAACCCCAGGGTCAGAGCAGAAGTTCCTCTCGAGCAGGAGACAGAGAGGAAATTTTACCAGTTCACTGGAGAATAATATAACAAAGAAGTATAAAAAAGTAGATACTTCATAAAGTTAAACTTATTCAATTTAAAGAAGAGCCCTTTATCCTAAGATGACATCTTTCCTGCTTTTTGTTGGACCAAAAAGATGTCCTTTCTGTTATGCAGTGAGAGTGAGTGACAGTTTGGTTCTGTTTAATCTCTTCATTGACACTGGTTGATGCGGATGGAAGAGCAATGTCTTCTCTCCTCTCTCTTGCCTTTTCCTCAGCTTCTTTTTTTGGCATCCGTCTATTCCACCCACCCTTTCTCCTTCTTCCTGGCTCCAACATGGCCCCTCTTCTGCAAAGTTAGTGACCTCAAAAAGAATTCACACTCCACAGAAATAGCAAAGGAGAGATATGACCGGTGATCTGCCACCTGTGTTTAAAGGTAAATGTCTAGTTTCGTGTGATTAAGTCCCAAGCAGTTCCATTGCTTTATAAGCCAGGTTTTCTTCTCAGCAAAAGAAGCGGCTTCCGTATCTCCTCATCCGAGCACGGGCTCAGTACCTCTCCCATGTGGCAGGCACTGAATGAACATCTGTGCTGAGTTTTTAGGAGTTGATTCTGAAAATATCAGTTTTAGGCTGTTGAGTGATCCTAATGAAAGTTTCTGTCAAAGCAGACAGAAAGATTGCCTCCCCAAAATCAAGCCAGATACACATTCCTAGGCAAAATGATAATTCTTAATTACATGTAATTAAAAAAATATATATGTCATAGCTTTCTTAAAAAACTTTCTGGGGCACCTGGGTGGCTCAGTCGTTTAGCATCTGCCTCCAGCTCGGGTCGTGGTCCCAGGGTCCTGGGATCGAGCCCCGCATCTGGCTCCCTGCTCCGCGGGAAGCCTGCTTCTCCCTCTCCCACTCCCCCTGCTTGTGTTCCCTCTCTCACTGTCTCTCTCTCTCTGTCAAATAAATAAATAAAATCTTTAAAACAAACAAACAAACAAACTTTCTATCGGAGTAATATATGGAGAAGTGCCCAGACCTTAGGAGTACAACTCAGTGAACTCTCACAAATTGAACACACCCTGTAACCAACATCCAGGACATTTCCAGCGCCTAGAATCTCTTTGTGCTCCACGCCAGTCACTACCCCCAAAGGGTTAAAAAAACATCCTGACTGCCAACAGCATAGATTAGTTTTGCCTGTTTTTGTGCTTTATGTAAAAGGAATCATGTAGCTTATCCTCTTTGGTGGGAAGCTTCTTTCACGCCCGTGCTGGGGGAGGGGGTGTGGGAAGAGATGGAATGCCCTCACAGGCAACAGTATTTTATCACCCATACTGCTCCGAACGATAGCACAGGGTGACAGTGAAAAAGTAAAACTGACGGGCACTGGGTGGCTCAGTCGGTTAAGCACCCGACTCTTGGTTTCAGCTCAGGTCGTGATCTCAGGGTCGTGATCACAGGGTCGTGAGACGGAGCCCCACACCGGGCTCTGCACTCAGCTGGGGGTCTGCTGGAGATTCTCTCCCCCTCTCCCTCTGCCCCTCTCCGCCGCCCCCCCACGCCCGGTTCTCTTTCTCTCTAAAAATAAATAAATCTTTAAAAAAAAAACAACACTGATTTTTTGTCAGTTTTAATATTGTTTTTAAATTCTCTACAGACAGTGCACATCCTTACTGTCTACACCTGGGGTGAACCTTCCACCACCCCCTCATATAAGTACACCACTGTTTCACCTACCGTTTCTTCTAGAAGATGTATTTATATAGTTGTGGGGAGATGTAGATGATTCTTTTTCATTGCTGCATACAATCTCATTGAGTGAGATTTCCAATTTACCAATTTCTTTATTTATCTTTTTTTTTTTTTTCCTGAGGAACCCACGCATGGTGTTGCTCCAGAAGCACTTCCTGCCCTCAGGCCTCTTGGACTTCTAGGCCTGTGCATCTGGGGCACACTCCAGCCCCACAGGCCATCTTCCTGGAGTTAGGGTTGTTAGCCCTGCATTACTCATGCCTAGAGAGAAAGGTCAGTTAAGATAGAGCGCTTGCTGCCCTGTGCTCACAGGATACACAGGGCCTCTGGGAGAGTCATGTCTCCCAGGTGTGTTTCCGGACTCATTTATTTTTGATGGGTATTTAGGTAACTATTATGAACAGTGTGGCTCTGAACACTTTTGTGTGTCTTTTGATGAACATATGGGTGTATTTCTGCTGCATAATAGACCTCCTGGGTCATAGGGTGTACAGATGGTTAGCTTTGATATGCTGCCAAAGAGCTTGCCAAATGGTTGTACCAATTTACCCTCCCACCAGCAGGGCATGAACACCCCTGCTGCCCCACATCCTTGCCACCACTTGGCATTTCTGTCTTTTCATTTAGGCGATCCCGGAAAGTGTGTTGTATATATCCAAAATTATGAAATATCGGGGAATACTTAGAATACTGGGGATACCCCTTTCTTCAGAAGGGATCCAAAGGGAAAGGAAAATATCAAATTCATACAGATACAAGAAAACCTAAAAGAGCAACTCTATGTTAAGGGAAAATGACCATCAGAAATAGAGAGACCTATGGAAATCAGTGATGTTAATTTAACAAATATTTATTGAAGACATGTTGTTATATACTGAATTGTTCTCCACCTCCTCCAGCCCCCATATTTCATATGTTTAACATCCAGGCCCAAATATGGTTACACATCACTTCCATGGGCATCAATAAGTTTGAGCCACCAAAACAAAACTAATGATAAAAGGGTAACAAAAGGGGGCGCCTGACTGGCTCAGTCAGTTAAGTGTCTGCCTTTGGCTCCAATCATGATCCCAGGGTCCTGGGACTGAGCCCCACATCGGGCTCCCTGCTCAGCGGGGAGGCCTGCTTCTCCATCTCCCTCTGCCACTCCCCCTGCTTGTGCTCTCTTGCTCTCTGGAAAATAAATAAATAAAATCTTTAAAAATAAATTAATTAAAATTTAAATTTAAAAAAGCTTATAATAAAACTCATTATCATAAAAATTAATAATTGGCTTATAAAATAAGCCTTCCTCTCTGTAAATTGTAGACCCCCATCCCATCTTCATGAAAGTAGAGGGAAAGTAGACATTTTATTTTATTTTTTTAAGATTTATTTATTTAGGGCCGCCTGGGTGGCTCAGTCGTTAAGCGTCTGCATCGGCTCAGGTCATGATCTCAGGGTCCTGGGATCGAGGCCCACATCGGGCTCCCTGCTCAGCCAGGAGCCTGCTTCTCCCTCTCCCACTCCCCCTGCTTGTGTTCCCTCTCTTGCTGTGTCTCTCTCTGTCAAACAAATAAATAAAATCTTTTTTAAAAAATTGTATTTATTTATTTATTTATTTATTTATTTATTTGAGAGAAAGAGAGTGCACACAGAGAAAGAGGGAGAAACAGACTCCCCACTGAGCAGGGAGCCCAGTTGGGGATAGGGCAGGCGCTCCATCCCAGGACCCTGGGATCATGACCTGAGCCGAAGGCAGATCCTTCACCAACTGAGTCACCCAGGCGTCTCTGGAAAGTGGATGTTTTATTCAGAAATATACATACGCCTCAAAATGTACATACAAACAAAATTCCAGAACCATGAAAAGTAACATCTAATGCTAAGAAAGTTACCCCAAAATTCTACATTCCAAATGTAAATGGATTCCAAAACAAATTAATTTTTTGAAAGAATCTGACAAAACTTGAAAATAAGTATATTAAGCTCAGTAAAGAATGTTTCATCTTTGTAAAGCACGAATTCATGAAACAGGGGCACCTGGGTGGCCCAGTCGGTTAGGCGGCTGCCTTCGGCTCAGGTCGTGATCCCAGGGTCCTGGGATCGAGCTCCACATCGGGCTCCCTGCTCAGTGGGGAGGCCTGCTTCTCCATCTCCCTCTGCCTGCCTCTCTGCCTACTTGTGCTCTCTCTCTATCTCTCTGTCAAATAAATAAATAAAATCTTAAAAAAAAAAAAAAAAGAATTTGTGAAGCAAAAACAAAAAATAAGGAAAAACTTACATGAGAAAGAATGCATTTTAAATCTTCGAAGCAAAAATAGAGTGACTGAAATTAAAAATTCAATAATCAGGAAAACTCTAGCCCAGATACACTAAACAAATTAATGAAATTGGAGATAACGGTAAAAAACTTACCCAGAACACAGCGCAGAGAGACAGGCATAAAAACATGAATGATGAAGGGCACCTGAGTGGCTCAGTTTGTTAAGCATCTGCCTTTGGCTCAGGTCATGATCTCAGGGTCCAGGTATCGAGGCCCATGTTGGTGTCTCTCCTCAGCAAGGAGTCTGCTTCTCCCTCTCACTCTCCCTCTGTGCTCTCTCTGTCAAATTAATAAAGTCTAAAAAAAGGAGACAAGTACCAGGATGGTGATTGCTATCTCATCTGCAATAGTAAAAAAGAGAAAGAAAAGAAAATTTTAAAAATCATGTAAATGACCAATAGAAGAAAGTTTTATTTTATTTTAAAGATTTTTTATTTTTTATTTATTTATTTGAGAGAGAGAGAACACAAAAGGGGGTAGGGTCAGAGGGAGAAGCAGACTCCCTGCTGAGCAGGGAGCCCAACACGGGACTCGATCCCAAGTCCCTGGGATCATGACCTGAGCAGAAGGCAGACACTTAAAGACTGAGCCACCCAGGTGCCCCCAATAGAATAAATTTTTAAAATAAAGTATATCTCATATTAACAAATGAAATACTGTAAAATTATTAAAAGGAAGAATTAGAATTTCAAGTATCCACATAGATCCATCTTAAAAACATGTGGAACAATGTAAGCAATTTGCAGGATGAAATGCATGCTAAAATACCATTTCTATAAGCTTGAAAAATACCTACAATATATTCTTCATAGAGATGTACACATATGGTAGCAGGTATTGCCGCGGTCCAAATGTTTGTGTATCCCCCCAACACCACCACCCCCCCCAGGCCCAGATTCAAATGTTGAAATCCCACTGCCCTATGTGATGGTATTAGAAGGCGGAAGGTAATTAGTTCATGAGGGCAGAGCCTTCATGAATGAGATTAATGCCTTTATACAAGAGGCTCAAGAGAGCTCCTTTGTCCCCTTCCCCCATGTGTGGATACAATGAGAAGTCTGTGACCTGGAACAGGGCCCTCCCTTGACCATGCTGGCACTCTGATCTCAGATTTTCAGCCTCCAGAACCGTAAATAATAAATTTCTGTTGTTTATAAGCCACGCAGTCTGTGGTATTCTGTCATAGCTGCCCAAATGGACCAGGACAAGTATTAAATATATATGGCGTTGAAAAACACCCTCTAGGTAGGCAAGGAGGGGAGTGGAATTCAGGACAAATACACAGGGGATTTCAATTAAATCTGTAAATTTCTACATGTTTTAATCTGAGCAGAATTTAAGATGTTAAAAGGGGTTTTCTCACTGTCTTTGAAATTCAGCTAAGGCCCTGCAGTCAAAGAGACTTCCTAGACACATTTCTGCAGAATTTTATAAAAAATGACCAAGCTGGTCCTTCAAGTATCAGTCCCTGTCAGGTTTTTCCAGCCATTTTAGGAGAAGGCCATACATTCACTTGAATGGGATTTTGGGGGGTTTTGCCACCTTCCATAATCGAATGTTTCTTACCCACTGCCAAGCCGAGAGAGAGCCTCCAAGCAAATCAGTCACAGGGACCAAGAGTGCCTACAAGAGAGTAAACTGCCATCTCGCCTTCTGGCTGGATGTTTACAGAGCCCTCACACTGTGGGCCCTGGTACTACTCGGACACCAAAGACAAGAGCAGAAAGAGGTCTAAGGAAAGCCAATGAGCATCCGCAAGGTATTTGTTGGCATCTATACCTGGGGAGCCCGTCTGGAGAATTCCAAACACAGAAGACTGGCTGGAGCAGCACCGTTACGGGGCAGGAGGGCTAACTGGATGGGTAGGCATTTGGCAGGAAAAAGACACATGATGTTTTCCTGTTGACCAAAAGGGCTTGCAGGGAGTAGCTTGGCATAAGCCATCCTGAAGAGACCCTACTACCTCCCAAGAACGCTGCTTCCTGAGGTCAGGGGTCCCCAGCAGGAAGAGGCTGTGTAGGGTGAGAGTGGGTCTCAAGAAGCCAATGGAGAACGACTTAAACAGAATGAAGCCCATTCATGGGTTCTCCCAATAACCTACATCTTCACCTGAAGAACCTGTACTTGGATGCTCAGGTTAATGGAGGGAATGAGCTAGATTTAGCCAAGAGAGGACTATACACAATATCAGCTAAATACAAAGATTTTTTTGCTCCTCTTTAATCCACATACTGAACCCCATGCTAGAGCAATTAGAGAGCAAGAAAGAAGCAAAGGAAGCCAAAAAGATTCTTGAAGGGACCCTGATCTCCTTCCTCACAGAGTCAGCAGTAAGAAGAGGTAAAGACATAAGATTGAAGCTGCATTTGAGATTGCACTAGGCTTTTTCATCTCTCGAACAGCCCAATGTGAGCCACGGGATCTATCAGAGATGTCAGTCACCAAGGGAGGAGGAGAGATTGAGCAGTGTGGTTGAAAGCCCTTGGGAAGAACAAGTTCTTTCCCATTTATGTCTCTCAGAGTTTAGCCCTGGGCTAAACTCACTTATAAGGTAGTAACACAAACGGGGCAAAATGTTTCTATTTAGTAAAGCTTGAAGGTGGGTGTTGCAGCCAGGCTTCAAGATGGTCCCCATGATGGCTGCCTCCTGCCTTCACGCCCTGCATAGTCCCCCTCCACATGGTACCAGGCCCAGGGACACCAGTTTGAGTGACCAGTAACATACGGTAGAAGTAAAACATTACTTCTGAAACTAGGTTCTAAAAAAAGACTATGGCATCCCCCTCTCTCCCTCCCTGCCTCCCTCCCACCTTCCCTCCCACCCCCCCCTCTCTCCCTCAGGCTTCCTTCTCTCTTGCTCTGGGGGAAGCAAGTCCTACAAAGAGGCCCACATGTCAGGAAACAGTCAGCAAGAAACCAAAACCTGCCAACAAACAAGAGTAAGCTTGGAAGCTGTCCCTCCAGCCCCGGTTAGGCTTTGAGATGACCTGCCACAGCCTGGAGGGAGACACTGGCCCAGAACCACCCAGCGAAGCCACTCTGATTCCTGACCCGCAAAAACGGTGTGAGATAATCAGTGTTTTGCTTTGTAGGTTGCAGCGCTGAGGCAATTTGTTATACAGCCGTGGATAACCAATACAGTGAGCACACCGAAATTTGATCTATTATCTTGACGTTCTTCAGAATGTCTAAACTATCTCATAATAATGTAAATATATATCATGAAGGTTTTCCCCATGTTCAGCATTTTGAAGCTAAAGTAAAGGGCTCTTTTAGGGGTGAGCACCTGGTCTCTAACTTGGATGAAAATCCCTATGGTCCCCTGAGAGCACGCTCATAAAATAAACTGTGCTTTGGAAGTGAGAAATGACGTGAAATGAGTTACTCTGAAATTCAGTTATTAAAATAGTCTACAGAACCCATGGTCTCTGGTAAAGGAATCAAGCAGTACCACCTGGGAGTGCTAGATACTACTAACAGAAGCAAGAGGGACAAGCAACATTACTGTAGTGTTCCTTACTGACACTAGATGGTGATAAAGTTTTATCGTGCAATTAAATTTCAATTACACAGTTTGGCTGGGGTAGAAGTCCTTTAAAGAAAGCCAAGCCAACATTTACTTCATTATTACTTGGTTAGTGCTATTTTTGAATTATAATTTGTGAGTGGAAATTAAAACTGAGTTGCTTGCATTGATTCCTGAACTAAATCCATCTTTGAAAGGAGGTAGTTTGAATAAAGTAAATGTACTTATAAAAATGCACTTTATAAAAATTAATAGCAATTTTAGGGGTGCTTGGGTGGCTCAGTCGTTAAGCATCTGCCTTCGGCTCAGGTCATGGTCTCAGGGTCCTGGGATTGAGCCCCGCATCAGGCTCCCTGCTCGGCGCGAAGCCTGCTTCTCCCTCTCCCACTCCCCCTGCTTGTGTTCCCTCTCTCGCTGTCTCTCTCCGTCAAATAAATAAATAAAATATTTAAAAAATAATAATAATAAAATAAAATAAAAAATAATAGCAATTTTAATAACTGTACTCTTAGCATGCATTCAGTTATTCCTGAGCATACCTGAACTTTGGGATAATTTAGGCAGAGCTGAGTCATGGTTTGCTTTTGAAAGAACAGTACCTCTAAATCAAAGGAGAAAAAAAAAACAAAAAACCAGGAAAGCACTCCAGTAATTACAATACATTTTCATTCCTTTCCTTCAAAATATTTCCTGTTACAAGAGGTTGTCTAGCTTAATAATTAAGAGCACAGACCCTGGAACCAGATTGTATAGACTTAAATTCTAGTTCTCCTTTGGATTGTATCTCAGTATCCATCTCATAAATGAGTCACAAAAGAAACAGTATATGTGAAGCACTAAGAGTAATACTTACAATTTAGAAATTCTGTTTAAATATGAACTATTATTATTTTTCCACATACATTCCCTGTGTCCGAGGTACAAAGTGCTAAGGAAGGCAGCTGGGTGGCTCAGTTGTTAAGCGTCTGCATTCGACTCAGGTCATGATCCCAGGGTCCTGGGCCCCACATCAGGCTCCCTGCTCAGCAGGAGGTCTGCTTCTCCCTCTGCCCCTCCCCACACTAGTGCTCTTTCTCTCTATCTCTCACTCTCTCTCTCACAAAAATAAATAAATAAAATCTTTTTTAAAAAGTGCTATGGAAATGTATAGCAAAAACTGAAGCTTGAAATCTAGGTCAGTTTCCCAACATTACACAATCAGCAGAGTCAAAAAGTCCACGGTTAAAGGAGACAAACATTTGGAATTGCCCTTTACTATTAACAGAGAAGGTATGCTTCCAAAGAAGAGGCGTAAACCAGGACTGGAACACAAACCTTGTAAATCTTGAGCCAATGAACCTTCCACTGCACCACAACAAATAATCCTTATTTATTGACAGGAACTCCTAAAAGACAGGTCTTGGCAATATTGGCTGCTAGTTCACTGACAGATGAAATTTTGAAATATTAACAAACACTTCCATCCAACTGCATTATTTTAGTTATCACCACCCTCTGCCTCATGGGATGTTCTGCCTTACTTGCCTCAGAGAAGGAATGATACAGCAGAATCCAGAAAAAGAAAACATTTATTTTTTAAGTTTTTACCTTAACTCCAGCTAGCTCACATACAGTGTTCGGGTGTACAACATAGTGATTCAGTCCTTCTGTAAGACACCATGTGCTCATCACGACAAGCACGCCCCTTCGTCCCCATCACCTATTTCACCCATCCCCCACCCCTTTCCACTCTGGTAACCAACAGTTAAAACAAAATATTTTTAAAGCTTAGGCCCTGGGGCGCCTGGGTGGCTCAGATGGTTAAGCGTCTGCCTT